TTTGACATAACTCTTTTAAGTTTTCTGTTGCGCAATATCTGCAATTTGCCAGCACCTGCCAATGGATGGGACAAGGAGCCTGCAGCAACAAGTGTTAACGTGGAAGACGATGTAGTAAGGCTGAGATTATACCGTAATAATCTGTATGGTCACATCTCTGAACCAGCTCTATCAGACGCTGATTTCAACAAATACTGGAATGACATTGAAACTGTTTTGTTAAGACATGGTGTAAACAAGACAGCCATTGATAGTCTTAAAACACAATCCTTCGAACCTGAAGATGAAGACTACTACATCAAATGCTTAAAAGAATGGATCACTGATGAGGCTGATAGAGTAATCCATGAAGTGAAGGAATCAGAAAAGAGAGTGCTGAATGAAATTGAAAGCGTAAAGGACAAACTGGATCAACTAAAACCGGAGCCATCAAAACCGGCTACACCTGAAGGTATGACAAAACATCGAATAGATTATAGTATAACCACAGCTAGTCAATACTTGTGAGCATAACTCGAGTTCAAATAAATCGATATATTACCACTAAGACGAATAAAATGTCGATTGCAAAAAGGAAAAATTACAAAAAGAAAGAAGGAACAATTATAGAATGTGTTAGTCAAAGTGTAATAACGCATGATAAACTAGAAAATATGAGACAAAATAATTGTAAAATCTACTAAATTGCGCTGTTTAGTAATTTAGCACTGTTTCAATATCTATCATTTTTTTATTGCCCAGATCGCGCTAATCATCAACATATAAGCTATACTTAAAGAATAGACTTTAGGGACTACTGCACAATATTTATCAGGAGAGGGGGGGGGATTGAGAATCCAGAGAGTTGGGTAACATTTATTATTATTATTGTTATAGTCGAGGTCCTTTTTGAAAATCATTTTTTAGTGAAAAAGCATCCTCAATAAAGCATATTCTTCTTCTTTTTATTATTATTAACTAGAACTTTAATTTGAAATCAGCGSTGTCAGATTCGAAAACTACTCAAGAAAAGTGTGCCACGATTTACATACTCCAGAACTGGACCCTCTTTTCTCAATTACTATAATATTCTATGTAAAAGTTAAAAATCCAAAGCGCGCGCTACAGAAAATTGAAAAGTTTTGTTTTTTTTTTATTGAGAAAAGTTTTTTTTTGAGAACGCTGATTCAAAATAATAGTTTTCAACTCCGCGCGCGCAAGGATAAAAGAGGGTCCAGTTCTGGACTACGATTTACGGCAACTCTTTATTTACAAATTTTGTGAAATGAATGTATAAATTCACTGGGGGTGGGGGGCAGAGATTAATCTAATATTTCGTTTGCGATGTAGTAATTAACGTTTTTTGGCCCATTTTTCCCTCTCCCCTGATAAATATTTTGCACTCCCTATTTAGAAGGCTTGTTTGTTTATTCTGATTTTGTTGCACACTTGACTTCATTCAAGTTTCGGCTTTTATTCTCGGCTAGCTTAGTGTTGGCGTCGCCTTCCGCCGTATGGTGAACCGCAACCCTTATGGGACATAACCATAGCAATAAAAATAATCAACTGGTTAAAGACAAAAGAATACTACGGTTTCCTTATTTCCTCCAGACTTATTTAAATTGTGTTTTCCTTTTTTCCCCAGAAATGGAATTGTACTCCAAAAAACTCAAAAAAACTATACTAAAGCAAACAGAACTTGAACTACAGCCMAAAGGAATAATACAATCAATGAAAACTGATGATATTTTTACGAACTTGATTGTTCACCACGGCAAAAAAGCATGCCCAGAACTCTTGCCAGAACAAATTCAAAGACCTCACGAATATCACCCTGATCGTAAGACGCTGACYGAAATCAAGCAATGTAGTGAGATTTTTGTTGAYGAGGACGAAAAAGACACTACCGTCAAGAGAATATTACTTTCAGGTGAACCAGGCGTAGGGAAAACATTGTTCTCGCAGAAACTTCTTCGAGATTTGGCTACAAATTCAACATCGATCCCTGACATTAAGTTTACTTACCTCATAACGTTTAGACAATTGAACAATTTGTCGAAAAAGGAAACGCTGAACCTCAGAGAACTGCTGAATCTTTGCCCTTTATTGAACGATGGAWCCATGATAGACGAGAATGTGATGGACTACATTCTTCAGCATCCAGAGCAGTTATTGATTGTTCTCGATGGCTTTGACGAATATAAAGACCGCAACAAAATACTCGGAGATTTTGAAAGYCAATTTTCTAATGATAGTAAAACCAAGAAGCCAGTAGCAGATCTCCTAAGCAAACTAATCAGAAAAAAAATCTTGGCCGATGCTGTCATCATGGTTACTTCCAGGCCGAGCGAAGCGAACGCTTTAGACAAAAAAATGCACCCTGATCACTATGTCGAAATTACAGGATTCTCAGAATCAGAGGTCATTGCATATGTTAAGAAATATTTCAGTACAAAACCAGAAGAAGTAAAAAACATGGCACTKMGYAAGGTTAAAGAAAGCGCGCACTACATTTCATTTGGTCGCGTYCCTTTCCGTTGTTTGTTGATGTGYGTGTTCATCGAGTGGAAAATCAAAAAACACGATAATTCATGTCCTCTCACACTTACAGAGTTTTATTTTCAAGTAATTCAATGCATTGAAAAGAATTACAAYAGAGCAATACTTAGTTTAGATGACAAAGCCGCTTCGTTGGCTGTTGACAAAACACTCGACAATTTTTCAAAGTTAGCGGCTCTTTTAGCCGAACAAAAGAGATTTAGTTTTACCTCACAAGACTTAGAAAATCTAAAATTATCAGAAAATGAATTATTGTACATAAAATCTAGTAATCTTATATTTTGTTATCCTGTTTCAAGTAATAATTTGCCATTTCAAAAGCCAATCTGTGAATATAGCTTCACACACTTCACCATTCAAGAGTTTCTTGTTGCTCGGTATTTGGTCAAGAAAGGCGTAATGGCGGCAGAAGAAAGCACTGAAATGGTGTACACATTCATGAGCGGTTTGTTAGGTTTAAATGATAATAATGAATTAATGGTAGAACTACTAGAGTGTCTAGGTAAACATATTGAAGGTGAAGGTAGACTAAGACTGGTGTCATTGCGATGCCTGCACGAGTTTGGTCAAGACAAACGCTTGACAAGACAAGAACTAAATACAAACCGTGACTACAGATACTGGTCTAGTGATGGGAGGATTGGATTACATGATGTAACCGACACGGACTGGGATGCAATCGCTATGTTAGTAGAATCCACTGCTACATCAATATCATCACCACCACGCACATTGTCCATTAGTGTCTCACCGATAACCATTACCGGGATAAAGAGATTGATGTCATCACTCATTACAAACTGTTCAATCAAAGTACTGAGGCTGGTGTGGTGTAGTGATTTGAATGATGAACATGTAAAGTGTTTGTGTAAAAATTTACAAAAGACAAAAATAACCCAGCTAAGCCTGTGGGGTAATAAGATAACTGATGGTGGAGTGGATGACATCATGGTACACTTAGCCAGTAATCTCACCGTGCTAAACCTGTCTTATAATATTAACATATCTGCTGAATGTAAAGAGAAAACTAGACAATACTGTAGTGATAAATATCCTGGTCTTGAGTTATACATATAGTAGATATAATTCAATGTTTGACTCTTGTAGAGTTGTAGTGATACAAGTAAACCAAACACAACAAAAATCACATCAAACTATTTATTCATMAWTTYTTAGTTTTCTACAATTCCTTACATATTCTTTTGTAAAAATATAAGCTTATATCAAAATGTATGTACATTTTATAATTTTGTATGATAGTTCTTGACATTTTGTAGGTGATAGGAATTTTTCAGTTTCAGTAAAGCTGAACTTGTACAAATGAGAGGACATGAAAAACTTTATTAAGAGTTTTTCTCTTGGGTTTAGAAAACTTGAATAAAAATCTTAATGTAATTTTAATACATTGTACATAGTTGTAGAATAATATAACTCAATGATATAGTAGAAATACAATTTTTTTTCTAGTTTGGTATTTCTTAGCTTCAATAAAATTGAACATGGATTTCATGTCTATTTTCTTTTCTGGGATCAAAACAACCAAAGTTTGGTCAAGCTATGACAGAAATATTACATCTTTCKTATGTTTAATTGAAAATTTGGTATTTGAAATTGATTTTGCTGTTGTTTTTTGAATAAAACATGAAAAAAGTTGATATTGTGACAAAGGTGCATTCAGTTACTTTTGAAGCAAACTTTGAAATTTTACACGAAGTAGATTTTCCCGGTTTCAGAACTATTAAAAAAACCCGTAAATTCCGCGTTCTGAGCAATGGCTAATTTATATTCAGGCGCGGATCCAGGACTTTGAAGTGGGGGGTGAATTGCTAAAATAATGTAATAAAATGGAAGCCAAACGYCGAAGCCGGGAGCCCCTAGGGGGTTGGGGGGCATCCCCCCGAGAAATTTTGAAATCCAGACTTTCGGACATGCGATTTGCAGCGTTTTGTGGGCCTTTTTAGTAACTCTTTATTGAACAAATTTAAGCGGAATTTAGTACGCAATGCTCACTTGAAGCAAAGAATCTCTCACGTTTAAAACTAGTATTTATCAAGAACAATGAGAGTTTACCGTGTACACACGAATATACATTACACCCACTAATGTCATCTAGGCTATTTACTGCCCCAAAAGTGATTGTTCCATCATCCTCCTTGGATGGAGTTCCATAAATGCTCGGCAAATAGTAGGTAGAATCAATCAGTCTTTGGAGAAATCAATTAATATTTCAATATTTGAGGGATAAGAGAAAAAAAAGGAAGAAGAGCTTAGAAAAATGGGGGGTGGCTAGCCACCCTATTCACCCCCCCTAGATCCGCCCCTG